TAGCAATTTCGGTCGCCTACATTTGTATCCCTAGTTCGAACTAGGGAGCAAGTGTAGACGTACCCTAAAGAAGCTGTTAGTCTGTCACAGAACCAGTGAGTTGGCTAGAAGACCAGAATATGTGGAGTTCACATTTTATACTTGATTGATGAAATCTAAATACAGAACACACAACCAATTTAAGGTTTGTGCCCCGCTTCTCCACTCTCTAACCTGAGATTGGCTCACCATCATGACTGCCACTCTAGTCAGCTTGCTATGGAATCTATTCTATCCCTTGGTTCGAACTAACGTTACTCCTCATTTTTTGAGGAGTTCATTTTTAGAGGAGTAAAGTTAGTTCGAATCAAGGGGTTTGGTTTGAACTAACGCATCCCGGCGCGCACTTAGCTGGCATTCGGAATAACACCCCAGCAAGATCATGCTAATGAAGTGCGGGATATTTAAATCCCCGCTTCATTGACTGTTTCGAATGCCTGCATTTTCATCCCTAGTTCAAACTAGGGTGCAAGTGTAGACATACCCTTACAGAAAAAAACAACAAATGGTCATCTGAAGAAGCGGGCTGTGACCACGAAAGCTCATGATACAATCTACATGTTTTGTTAGTCTTTAAAGTGCTGCCAGACCATTTGTTGTTTTTTTCATGTAGCCAGAGACAGTCCCCTTGGGCATGTGAGTCTATCTTGCCACCTAGACAAGATTGCCTTTGTGATGGATGATCCCTTACCCCCAAAATCACAATATTCAGGTTACTTCCAGTCAGTCCTAAATGGCCAGTCAGTTACCCATGTCAATTTCACCTCAAACCAAATGCAAGGCTTATAGCCAATCCTATAATGAACTAACTAAAGGTTTCTTAGCTAGGAAAACAGAGGTAAGAGTTATTTGCAAGGTTAAACCAGGAAACCCTACACAGACAAATGAGTTATAGTCTTACGTTCCAAAAGGTAATATTAGTTGCCATATATGTAAATTCTATATGTCCTTTAGGGCTGACACAAACTAAACAATTTGGGAATCCCTTGTTTATGCTTAGAAATATTAGTGTCTCTGAATTCAATTTAGAGAGACTCCATTCCTTCTTGATAGGCATTTTTATTTCCTTCCTCCAGAGTTCAAGCTGATGGAATGAATTCACATGCAGGTCCCTACTTTATGGGTGTGGGGCCAAGAGAGGGAGAGAGCAATTAACAAAGTCTTTGTCTTTTGATGTTTCACAATGCTCATTTGATTTTAACGGGCCTTCTTGTATCCAGAACCAGCACATTACATTATTTTTCCTGTTTAATGCTTTATTCAATTACAGAGACTTACAATGCAGATACTTTTATACCAGTGTTTCTCCAAGTGGGCCACAGACCCACTTTTAAACAGCTGCTAACAAGCTACTCCAGTTTTCTTACTTAATGGTTCCACAGCCACAGAGTTCCGTGTTTGCCATTGGTTCTGGTTCACTGTTTCCAGCCAAAGGGAGCTACAGGAAGTGATGGCCTGGGCCACGCCGCTTCTCACGGCTCCCCTTGGATGGAAACGGTGAACCAGAGCCAATGGGAGCCACAAGTATCTAACGGTTTCATAGCCGTGGAGCAACAAACCAGAGGGACCTGTTAGCCTGCAGCCCACTTTGAGAAACACTGCATTATACCATGGGCTACAGATGGTATAATAAAGATTAATAGCTACCTACAAGTATCTCATCAAATCTAAACACATCCTTATAAACCTAACATCTGTTTTAACAATTCTAACTCACAGATGAACTAGACTGGTTTCCAGCAACGCATCTGTCAGTATTCAGTAATACCGTCACATGAGCTGGCACCTGGTCTGTCAGCACCATTCCCTATTTTATGCATTGATATATTATTGGCAAAGCTAACAGTGACTCTCTTACAATATCCTAATAATATCCACTCTAAATCCTTGTTTTCAGTCTTAGAATTTTGCCAGATTTCAGCCATTAAGGCTCATGTTTTCTGTGCTTTACCATCTACCTAGGCTAAATATGGTCATTAGTGGGGGAGGGGGAGTTGTTTGTTTGTTTTAAATGTTGTTTTATTTTCACCTTCAGCAAAAACAATTCTACCATTTTGAAGACTAGAGTTACTTTAAAAACATGTCCTACCATTTCTTTCAAGAACTCTGGCAACTCTGGGTTTTGGAGCAGAAGCTTAAAATAGTCCCATCAGGAGCCTTCTTGCAATCTCTGTGAGACTCCATCCTCTTTAACTGAATTGTGAACTTTTGAAAATCACAATTTGTATATACTCAGGAGAGCTTTTAAAATATTCCCTCTAAGCATGATCCAGTTCTACAGAGCTCATTGGATGCCAACTGCACTGAGCATACTCACAGACCCAATAGGGAACCTTGCATGCTAGAGCTACTAATGGGTTAACTATGAGACATCCACCCTCCAATCCCAACAGCAAAGTGCTCTTTAACCTAAGGGAAAATGTGCTGGGCTAAGATCAAGGAAGCACACATGAATTCCAGTCATAGCTCTCCTACTGTTATATAGTCATAGTTCTGTACACTTCATAGACCTTTCTAATGACCAGAACATCCTGCACCTTATTTAGGAGGGATGATTGTTTAAGTCTCCCTATCTTACACATAGAACAACAAAAGCTGGACAAGAACAAATAATAGAAATGAGATATCTAATGTGGCAGATGCAGACTTTTGGGAGTGACATATTAAATCTATGTTTTTGGCTGAGCTGTTTGCATTCGCTTTATAGCTCTCCTCTCCCATCTAAAACTAGAAATCCTAGCTGCCAAAATTCTCCTGCAGTTTAACACATAATAGGTGTGCAAACCGCTAGAAAAGTGGATGTCATAGCTCCCGCTAGGGACTGACCAACATAGAAAATAATAGTATACTTATTATAACTAGTTGCTTCTTTAGCTCATATGTCAAGAGAGCTGTGTTGTAGCTTTAAATACCATAGGTTCAAACCCTGCTGGTGACTTTGTGAAGGATTTATTTGCTGTATGAGATGATTCCTGGTTTTGCAGTTTCCTTTCTATAAAAAACCCTAGAAAATTACATACAGAAATCTACATTACAAAAATGTCAAGATTTCAAAATTAAGAACTCAGAAGTAAGTGTCTGGTTTAAGGCTGTCCATGAAAACTCAAGATTGCCCTATTAGGCATATGAACATAATTGTCTCACCCAGCATCACATAAGCGATCTCTGTAACAGAGCGAGGCATAGATTGCAGTTGTGCTGGGTCCAATTACCGAACCTTCAATTCAAGGAAACAGCTTTTCAATTCTTTACCTGTCCAACTTTTGTATTGAATGAGGCTGTTGTCTTCCTGAACAAAATATATACAATCATGTATTAAAGACCGAGGCATTACATGTAAATAGAAAGGGTTACATAAAGGTTGCACAAGCAATTGTGATTTTGGTATTTTCTAATACTAGTGTGTTTGCACAAACGTAACCTTCTTTTTAACTTTGTTTTTTAAATATACAGTTAATCCTCAATTATATAATCCCTCTTTTTAGAAAAATGAAATGCAGTCTGTGACCTGCATTAACTCCTCACTTATCCAAGTCTTATTTTTTCAAATTATTTCCATGTCTCCAATCCCATTTAACTATTATAAACTTTTCTGTACCAAGGCTGACTACCTGTATTATTCATCAAAAGAAAATACAGATAATTACATTTTATATTTTGAAACCCTTGCAAATACATCTCTGTATAATAGATAGTGCTTTTTTCTGCTTATCCAGAGATCACACCAAAGGATCCAAAATTTTAGTTAAATGTCAGAAAGCATCTTTTAATCTGTCACCTATTTTAATTTATTATTCTTACATTGTATAGCAGTTGAAGAATACAAAGTTAGTAAGAAACCTATTTTAAACATGATCTTTAACACCGTTATAACCCATTCATTCTATAGGAACCTTGTATAGGACAGTGCTTAAGTATTTGCTTAAATCAAGCCTACATGAGTCTCATCCTGTATGATATTATTAAAGCCAAAGTTTCCTAAATCATTTTGCACTACATATTTCATTTTTTTTTTTTTTTAAAAAGGACAACCAAACCAGCATAGTTATAAAAAGAAAGAGCAAGGAACAGAAAAAAAAAGCCAGGTAGTTTCTCATCTCAATATCTGGGTCAGATGGAAAATAAAAATTAAAAGTGTCTCAGGCACTCTGGGTCATGTAAAAATAATCATCAGTATAAAAGCAGAGCATCACTGGGGCCAGGGCTTTCTAGGGGTGTGCTCTGGCTCATCTAGGCTTGGCAGTTTATAGCCCCGACACATCTTCATTTGTTACATCAGTTATGAAAGTGTAGATTTTGGCATCTAGTTGCTTGTGCCTCAGAACCTTTGTTACAAAATAAGCTCTGTGAAAGAGTTGTATGTTTTGATACCTTGAATTTCAATGGTTTGACTCTTGTACAATAAAACTTTCATGCCTTTCTCTCAGAATTGTTGATGGGTTTCAAGAGGTGGGGAGAGGGCTTATGTTGTCAGTTTGGATTAATGTTTAAATCACAAATATATATGACCTACAGAAGACATTGGGAATGAAGTGGGGCATGTGTAAGGAGTTAAGGACTTATGCTAATTAGTTTTAAGTAACACTGATCATATGAACATAATTATCCTTTTCCAACTGTGTTTGGTATATAGGACTTTGGTATTAAAATATTTGGATTATAACTAATCCAATTAGCAATTGAAAAATCATCTTTAAACCCAAAGAACAAATGTGAGTGCTTAGCTTCCACTTGTCCCACTTACTGTTTTTACCCCCAAGCTACTTCTTTATAAGCTTTATTATAAGATGCTTGTTTTGTTTCAGGTTCCAAAAGAAAAAAGTCTGAACATATTATGGCTGATAGGGTGCCCATCATCACATTATTGAAAAAGGATGCCCTTCCAAAGACATTGATGTGTGGTGTTTAGTTCTAAAATTAATCTGGAGGTTTAGAAACTAAGTTAAAAATGGACAAAATCATTTGTAGGTTGCAAGTCCCAGATCTTGTTTATTTATAAAGCAATAAATATTAGAAGAAGCACAAATAAATTGCACGAGTGTGTAAACAAACTGTACAATGACTGAAGAAAGTTCAGGAAGGATTACTGGAAGACTCCAAGAAGCATAATATCATCATTATCATCCTGAGTGGGAGGTAAATTGAGGAAAAGGCATTTAGAAGCACTTGCGATGGACAATGGAAGGACCAGCCTCATCATATTCCTGTTTGCTGATCCACATCTGCTGGAAGGTGGACAGAGATGCCAGGATGGAACCACCGATCCAGACAGAGTACTTGCGCTCAGGTGGGGCAATAATCTAGGGAAGAACAAACAACAAAATCCTCATCAGTTCAATAGTTTGAGTTTCCAACAGCTAATTTACATGGACTTTGTAGTGACTACATAAAATTATAAAAGAACTTTCCTATTTTATCACTGGTAACATCTCCAGAAGCTGCCAGCCTACAATATCTGCAATATTCTCAATGGCAATTTTTACAGCCAGATTCTCCTTTCCTAACACTTGCTTCTTATCAGTAAAATTCCCACTGCCCAAACTAGTTATTTAGCCCAATGCAATAAATTCTTGACCGTGATTTCCATTTCATAGGACATCAAACACCTCACCTTGATCTTCATAGTGCTAGGAGCTAATGCAGTGATTTCTTTCTGCATGCGGTCAGCGATACCAGGGTACATGGTTGTACCACCTGAAAGGACATTGTTGGCATACAGATCCTTGCGGATGTCAATATCACACTTCATGATGCTATTGTAGGTAGTTTCATGAATACCAGCAGATTCCATACCTTAAAAAGGTAAGATGATAGATCAGCAAATTATACTGAAGGGACAATTTTTGTGTCAAAGATCTGTGAACATTTATAGCTATTAATAAGCATTCAGTGCCATAAATGTATAGGTCTTAAAACAGAGCAAGATCTCTCTGTCCTGGAAGAGTGACAGAATAGAGATAAAATAAAACATGTCACAATGATTTAGCTAAAGGGAGGGTGTGGAGAGATTATTTATTGTAAAATAATAAATAATAATAACTAACATAAAGTACAATCCTAAAACAAATACATTTTTAAAAGGAGAGTAGCAAGCGACAGTGTGTATGTGGGAAGGCACTTTTCAGTGTGTGTGTGTATATATATGTGGGGAGATTGGAGAAAATGACAGAAGAAATATAAAATGAGCAAGAGATTAAGTAGGACTAGAGTCTTGAAAGCGAGACAAAGAGCTTTATTTGATCTGATAAATGACTTTCAAGTAAGGGACTTGCAGAGGCAAAGCACAAGAGAAAGAGATTAGCAGTAGTGAAGAAAGGAGAAAAGGGAGATGCCAGGCCAGAAAGATTCAGTTACAAAGACAAAAAGTGATCCAGGCATAGACAAGGGGTTTAGCAATGGGTGTAAAACGGAAAGACATCAGAAGCAAATGTTCATAGGTTACATTCCAATGTATTAATTTAACAGGTGCTTCCTGAAAGCAATGAAACTAGATCTGCAACAAGATGCCAGCTGATGAACAACTGCATTTAACACACAGGTTTTATACTATAAACACTTGCGTCCATCAGATTTGTTTGGCTCTATATCAGAATTTACAATCTTATCCATGACAGTGTTTCATTATAGTGCATATATATAGACGCAAACCTCTTTTTGAAACTTCACTTCTCAGTGGCAGCAGCTGTTGTCTGAGTAAATATAACAGATAAACCTTTCAAATGCTGTCTCTGAAAAAATTCACCTCAGTGAAAAATCTCTAATGACACAGTGACATTCAACTAATACTAAGCCATTTGTGGATGAGCAACAACATTTCTGCAAGAATAGAGTCCTATAATAATGTCACAACAGCTCAATAGGTGAAATTTACTTGTCAGCCAGCTCCTCAGCTAGTGTAAACCAAAAGAACATCATTGACATCAGTTGAGCTATCCTGATTTAACTAGCTGAGAATCTTCCCTAATGTAATGACAGGTGTGTGTGTGTGTGTGTGTGTGTGTGTAAAGGGGTCGGGGTTTACTACTAAAGGAGTCATCCTTGATGGCACTTACCAATGAAGGATGGCTGGAAGAGTGTCTCTGGGCAGCGGAAACGTTCGTTACCTATTGTGATCACCTGACCATCGGGTAATTCATAGCTCTTCTCCAGAGAGGATGAGGAGGCAGCAGTGGCCATTTCATTCTCAAAGTCCAAAGCCACATAGCACAACTTCTCCTTAATGTCACGGACAATCTCACGTTCAGCTGCAGGACCACAGAAATAAGTCAAGGTCTGAAGAATAGGATTATCAAAGGCAGAAGATGGTGGTTTGAGAGAAATGAGAAGATGTTAGCAAGAGATAAGGAAGAGGTGTACTTACCTGTTGTCACAAAGGAGTAGCCACGCTCAGTGAGGATTTTCATGAGGTAGTCAGTCAGATCCCTGCCTGCCAGGTCCAGACGCATGATGGCATGAGGCAAAGCATAACCTTCATAGATAGGTACATTGTGGGTGACACCATCACCAGAATCAAGAACAATGCCTGGGAAAGATAAATGACAGAAATCAAATACATCTGGAAGCCTCTAACTTTTAAAAAAAAAAGTCACATGACCTTTCAATAAAAAAACAACAAACAAAAAAAAGTCTATGTAATGTAAACCAATAGTTACAATGGAACTGGTTCATTCTGCCTTTACTAGAATGGCTATTACTAAAGATTCAGAGTGATCATTCACTTAAAACAGTCAATCTCCACTTATTCCAGGTAAAATCCTTTCAAGTACAAGCGTGATCTCAGTGACTATGTTCTTTAAATGAAGCCCATGTATTTGTCCTGAGTCTCCTCTCAAACCAGAGCTACCGATGTAACTTTAGTAACATCATAGTAGGCACTTCTGGTTTACATCACTGTAAGTGAGAGGAGAATAAGGCTATGGCTATACTACCACACATGTTGGCAAAACTTATGTCACTCAGGGCATGGGGGGAAAAAAAACCCTACCCCCCAGCCAACATAAGTTTTGCTAGCTAGCATAAGTGATAGTGTCCACAGTGCTATGTCAGTGGGAAAGCTAGTGCCACTCCTGGGGGGTTGTTTAATTATGTCAACAGGAGAGAGCTCTCTCCCATCAACATGGCTACATAGCATTTTTACAACAACATAACTACATGGGTACAACTGTGCTAATCTAAACTAACTGAGGCTCATTTTAAAACAATATGGATAAAATACCAATTTCTTATGGCACTTTTCATCAGCCTATCTTTAATATATTTAGCTTCAAAACATTCCTATGGAAGTAAATAAATATTATCCTCATTTTAAAAGGAAAATAGAGCGGTTAAGTGACTTGCCCAAGGTCACAGAAGAAATATGTGGCAGAACAATGAACTGAACCATGGTTACAGAGTCTTATGTTAGTATTCTTTTGTACATTCAGCAGACTGTTTTGATGATTTTTTTTTACAAGTGCCATGTTTGAAAGACATCTATCTTTGTGTGACTGTGAATGTGTTAGAGACTGCTCACAGTTTTCTATTTTCTTTTGGAGTTGAGGGGTTGAAAGGAAACATTCCTATAGCAATCAGTTATTTTTACCTGTGGTACGACCAGAGGCATATAGGGACAAGACAGCCTGGATTGCCACGTACATGGCTGGCACATTGAAGGTCTCAAACATTATCTGGGTCATCTTTTCACGGTTAGCTTTAGGGTTTAGAGGAGCCTCTGTAAGCAAAGTAGGGTGTTCCTCAGGGGCCACACGCAGTTCATTGTAGAATGTGTGGTGCCAGATCTTTTCCATATCATCCCAGTTGGTGATGATGCCATGTTCAATAGGATATTTCAGTGTCAGGATACCTCTCTTGCTCTGAGCCTCATCACCTACATAGGAATCCTTCTGACCCATGCCAACCATAACTCCCTAAAGGAGGAAAATATAAAGAAACTTTGTCTGGGTGGGAAATACCATCATTAAGCACAGATTTAATTGTACCCAAGAGATTAATATTTTATTTGGGACAAAGGAGAGAGAAATGAAGAGCTATGCCAAAATGTGTTTAAATACAGAAAGTAACAGTTACTTTGAATATTAATTAAGTCAACACATGGCTGAATCCTTTAAAAAAAAATCCTACTTCATTTAATCAAAGTGACAACCAACAAAAAAAAGACTCATCCAGCTCATTCCCAAATATCTAAGGCTAAGTTGGAAAGTAATCTGCACAATATCATAAATATGAATAGCTGGATGAGAGAACATTTTTATAGCTATCCCCATTACAGTGAAATGTATCTACCAATGTAGTCAATCATTCATAAACTAGGAAGCAAATACAACCGTGGCATTCTGGACTTCATGCCAAATAGTATATTATAAATAAAAGAGAGGAGGGGCTTATCTCATGTAGTAAACAAAAAAAATGAATTACGTATTAGTGTTTTTATCACTGAGCCCATAATATCAAATGTCAATTCTGAGCTTTTATTTATTTTTTGCATGTAATTTATAGCTCCTTTGCGGGAAGGGGGCACAGTTTACTAAAAGTCTTCTATATACTGATTTAATGTTCATAATATGGAGAGATAAGGGGATGAAAGGAGGAAAAGTAGCATTACAAGGAGATAAGAGGAAGGGGAAAGGATCTGGGGGGTAAATAGAAAATGAGTAAGGAGTTCCAGGGTAACAGAAGAAATAGATACAAGGAAAAGGGATTCAAGGGGAAGGGCAGTGGTGTGAAGAGTTAGATGATGAGCTATGTGAGGAGGCAAAGGTCTAAGGACAGATCCTGGCTCAGGTGGTGTAAATTCAATGAATGGAGCTAGATGGATTTCCACCTGCTGGAGCTCTGGTCCACGCGGGAGGGAAATTAGGAGAAACTAGACAGCTGAGAGAGCGGAGCTAAGGTTAAAGAGATAAGGCTGTGAAGTATGAAACCGAGGCCCAGTGGGGAGAGGGAGGCGATGACAGATACGATCTGAGAGGCTAGGATGTGAAGACTGGGGAGGAGAAAGTTCAGGAGGGCAAAGATGCGGGGTTTGAGGCGTGCGGCGCCGGAGGAGTGCAAGGAGATGGGAAGGTCAGAGGGGGGAAGCGGGGTCTGAAGGAGCACAAGGGGGTAAGAGAAGCAGAGCTGCGAGGCGCCGCAGGAGGAGGTGGCTGGGGACGAGCACGGGGGAGCGCAGCGCACGCGGCTGCGCATCCTGCCCCCTGGGCGAGTCGCGGGGCAGTTACCTGGTGCCGGGGGCGGCCGACGATGGGCGGGGAGACGGGCCCG